GTGTTATGTGAGTGGGATTGCAGGTGAACATGTGTGCATGCATGTGTGTATGTGAGTGCATGTCTACGTGTGTGCACGTGTGCACGTGCCAGTGCGTGTTTGCGCATATGCATGCATGCTGAGGATTTCTGTGTTTTGAGGGGTTTGCAAAGGGTACTGGACGTGGGTTGAACGTGAGTCAGGCAGAGATGCAGAGAGGGAGCGCGCTAATCGAGAAGGCTGGAGGCAGTGGCGGACGCGTTCAGTGGCCGAATGCGCGGAGCTGCCACCGTCGCGGCGCCCCCACCTGGTAGAAGAGGCCGTTGAAGCCGGCAAAGGCGGCGCCCGTGGTAAATGCCGACTGCAGCGGGCTGGGGGCGCCGCTCATGAGAGAGAAGGCCACGCCGGCGCCAAAGGCGGCGCCCATCCTGCGGGGAGGAGGGGGGGGAGGGGGTTGAGGGTGTTGAGGGAGCATGGCGGTGTGATTGTCTTGAAAGGTTGAGGTGCGTGGCAGCAACACGTGCAGCCCGCTGCTACGTGCGACGCAGAATCAGACATGCTTTGCGCCGCAACATGCCCATCAGCCAGCCCTCAAGCGCAACAACCTCGCCCGCCTTGTGGTGACGGGCTTGCTGTTTTGCTGAGATCTGCTGCCAGGCGGCTGCGCACCCCACTTGTGAGCCTGCCCATGCCTGCCCATCTTGCCCGCACGCCTCCCCGCCGGGCGCTCACGATCCCCAGACGTCCTCCTTGCCGCCGCGCGCCTTCTTGATGGCCAGGCTGAGGCCAGCGTTCACGCCCGTGAACACTCCAAGGTTGCGTGCCTGCCCCCAGGGCCCGCCCTTCTGCAGCGCAGCCAGCTGCGCAGAGACCTGGGGGTTGGAGCCCGACTGGCCGGCGGGGTCCACCGAGAACGAGCCCAGCAGGTAGCCTGGCAAGGGGAGGGCATGGCAGAGGCGGGCGGCTGGGTTTGCAGAGGCATCATGGGGAATGCACGGAACCTGCAGTGCTGCACCAATTGCGCAATGGCATGCGAGGTGCTACTATCTGCTGACCTGCGTCAGGCATGCATGCGATCAAAAGATGCATACATGATTCTCTTTGTGCTGCTTTGGACATTCACCTATAAACACGCCCTGCGCTGCTGATGCCAGCGTTGTGACCGCAATGTCCACCGCGTCATTCTGTGCCTTGAACGCGTTGAACTTGACCTGCAGATCCGCAAAGAGCTGCTGCGGGCCGCCTGCCGCGCTGGAAGCGGCCGCCATTGTGCGTGATCTCGCTGAACCCACGTGTGTGAATGTGTTTATGCGTCAGAAACTCTAGAAAATATGCGTTTGATTTCGGTTGCCACACAACCGCCGGCTTCAAATGCGTTTTCTTGCCGCACTGCGTTTGTGTTGTTGACACTCGGCCGATGGCACCAGCTGCCAGCCCACCTTGCCAGATAGGAGACCATCAAGACAACCACAGCTTACAGAAAACCATAACCTTGTCCCAATCCAAATCTGACAAGCTAGCCACAGTACATTGGATGCGGTCAAAAGTCAAACGCTTTGCGTCAACCATGCAGACCGCCTGCGCCAGCGACGACAACGTGGCACCCGTCATCGGTGCATGTGAATGGCACACGCTGCACCTCTTTGATCATCAAGACTTGAAGGCACTGCTTTACCTGGCCATCTTCCAGCGTAGAGGTGCTGGACGCACTGCCGCTGCTGCTGGCTCCGATACCGGCGGGCCCTGCCCTTCCAGGACGCCCGTGTTACTTGAGCCGGCTTTGCTGGTGGGATGAGCAACCCCACCAGGGCACATAAGTGTTTGCTTGTGCAAAGGCATCACGCAACTGTGGTGCATGGGCATTACTTTGCAGGCAAAGCAGCAAGGCTTGCAAATGGGTTGTCTGACCCGGGCGCCACATCGTGCGCATCAGCGGTTAGTCGTGGCATCATTGGTGCATGAACACTGTCACAAACAAGACAGCCAACACGTACACATACTAGACCTGCAAAGGATGTGTGCGTACGGGGTATTAGCTTGGTTGTCATCTACTCTGCAGCTGGCAAGTGGCATGTGTCTAATGGTAGCTGGCAATTTGCTGCAAACTCGATGCAATTGTAGCCCTCAACGCTGCGACCTGCACCAGGACAGCAATTTCAGGCAACCAGGATTATTTGGCGGTACAACTAAGGGCGCCGGCTGTGCAGCAGGGGCCGCAGGGAAGCCTGGCTAGGTAGGGGAGCACGCTGCGGGTGGAGCACTTATGATATAGTAGACCAACTAAACGCTGGCCGCGGCATGTGCAATGGCGTGGCAGGGGCCTCCACACACATGTGCGCCGCAAGGGTCCGCCGCTGCAGCACGGCCGTTGCTGGGTGCGGAGGGCACCATGCGCACGTGCTGCCTGTCAGTCATTCGATGTACCGCTGCACCCTGCGAGCACGGAGGTCAGCCAGCAGCATCCTGGGGTGGTGTGGTGCAGTGCAGTGTAATGTGAATTAGGAGGGGGGAAGTGAGGAGAGAAGGGGTTGGCCAATGCGATTCATTCGCTATGCAGGATGTCAACGCCCCTGATTTTTGGTTGCCAATAACCCTGCCGGGGTGCGCAGGTACAGCCACGGGCAAGCAGGCAGCGCACCCTGCACCGATCCAGGGCCATGGCGGCTCAGTCACGCGCTGTCGGCACTGCCTGGTGGCGCCTGCCAGGATGCTCGCAAGCGCACACGTACCTGCACACACACACACAGGCGCGCGCGTGCACATAAACACACACACGCGCGCGCACATACACACACACAGGTGCAACACACACACACACACATAAACACACACACACACAGAGGACTCACACACACCGATGCACGCATTTGCACACGCGTGAACCGCCCCACTCCACCACTCACCTGATGAAGAAGGCCGTCTCCTCCGGGTTGGCCACCCACACGATGGAGCACACGTCACGTGTGGCGGCGTCATTGCCGCTGTCTGTGAAGCGATCGCCCACGTGCATCACCTGGGTGGCGTGGGGACGTGGCGCGCATGGAATGGCCCCAAGCGTAGACATGCGCACGAGTTGAGGTTGAAGAGGTGCGAAATGAGTGAGAAGGGGACAGAAGGGCGACGGCTGGATGGCGGCTGTTCAAAGCGGGCCGTGCCATGGCTGATGAGGCGGACGAGACCAGAGGAGCTGCATAGCGGTTGCAGCGCAGACCGGTTTTGGCCTCTCGACCTCTTGTCGTGCCGCGCACCTCGGGCGGCGCTGCCCCCAGGTATCTCATGAGGGCGTCCAGGCCGATGCACTTGTTGCCAATGTCCACGAAAACATCGTTGCCGCCCTGGGGGGGGGGCAGGTTGGGAAGTTGAGGCAGGTGTCGACGCCGCAGCCGTTTGAGAGGACCGGGGCAAGGTGGGCGTCGGGGTAGCTGTGGTGCCGAGTGGCGGCTTGCTGCTGAAGGCGAGGGCGCTGGCCATGGGGCGGTGCGCGCGATCAGGCGGGGCCTGCCTCAGCCGGCCCCCTTGCCCCCGCCCCAAGGGCCTCACGTTGAAGGCGCAGAAAGGCAGCTTGGCGATGAGGTTCTGCTGCACGGTGATCTGGGGCGGGGCGGGCGGAGGGTTGAGAAACAGGGCGGCCGGGTCAGGGGAAGGGAGCGGACAGGCATCGCGTCCATCTGCCATTCTTGCTGCCTGTGAGAACCTGCCTGGAGGCGCCACCCCTTGCACAGCGGCCTGCAGCATCTCACCTCCAACCTTGGTATGTATCCCCTGCCTGCGCACCCCTTGCCACCTGACGTCCTTCGCACCACCTTTCGCCATTCCTCTCCAGAGACTTCCCTCCCGGCAACCTCGAGCCCCTCTCCTCCCTCCCTGCCC